ATTCAGATGGACTCTTTCCCTTATTGTGAGTCTTTCTCGCTTTAAGGCGAATAAACTTACATTGTTTTCACACAGAACAGCTATAATTACGTTTCTTTTTGTTGTGTTAAAGGTTCGTTGTTAAGTCGAATTAAAAAACGGGCGTGTGTCTTTCAAAGTTAGCATTGACAACCATTAAACTTCTGCAGATAAATCATGAAAAAGGTAATCAAGCGCATACGCCGCCGCTCAGAGAAAGCCGAAGAAATATAATATTATACTCTGGTCAGCAAGCACGTTGCTGCTTTTCTTACCCTTATATTCTGTTGCCGAACTTTCTTCATCAGATATTCAACAACCGATCGATTCAGGGTTATTCTAGATTTTCGTAACTAGGAAGAGCTACAAGTTTATTAAGACAGAAGAAAGTGATTTTTATAAGAAAACTTTGACGTAGGATTAAGCATAAACGTCAATTAAATTTTCCCACAAACCATCTGTCTTGGTCATTATATTTTCTATCACTCTCACTGATTTATAACTGAATCAAGCCAGAGATGAACGATTTTGCATATATTTTTTATATCACATTAATTTGTTACGTTTTATCGTGCGAATCAATTGGATATCATCTTAGAAAGTGACGTGTTTAATTACGTTGTTCGATTCTCGTTTGTGCTGATTCTGCGGCCATCCTATTGTACACTTATTATTCTCAACAATAGTGGCAACACAAGCCGAACAACGAACGGTTTCTTTAAACGACACCTTTTTTTCATGAAATAGTTCGACTAATTTTGCGCACGTTGCCACTAATTGATGAGGAACATGCGGTGCTGATGCAATCAGTTTCAACAGTTTTGTCACATTCGCTTCTTCTAAACGCACGTTGTTGTAAAGGTTCAAGGAAGTTTTTGTGATATTGTGGAACGTTCACGGAAGTGCCGGAAAATAATGGGATATCGAGATCGACAGCTGCATCCGGTTCATCGAAAATAAGAAATTAGGAAATAGTTTACATGGACAGTTTAGGATAACACAGTGGAAGGTAAACAATTATTTACCTATCAATTCAGTATTTAATTGTATCCAAATATCGTTATTCACACGAACTTCCATATCGGACTGCTGGGTGGAATCGGAGCGGTTATGCTACAGGTCCAAAAGACAAATTAAAGGAGTGAAACTTTTAAATCAGTGTGCACATACATCATCTCCGGTAGCTGTATCGCTAAGTCTTTCGTTGGTCAGAGTAATGTTTTGAACCGTTCATTGTCTAATCACCTAAAACCTTTTGCACAGCATTTGAGAGTTGACAATGACCGTTTAGTAGAAGCCATGTGTCCATCGGTCACTACAACGTTGTCGGACATTGACTCTCTAACGTCCGTTTTTAGAAAAAATAAATTTGGCGTCTACGCTTGATCATTGAGTTCAGGCAGAATTCTTGTAGAGAAAGTTTGATGCGACATAGAAAAGAACATCAATCGAGACATTCAAAACTGTGATAAATATAAAAAACACAAGATTCTTGTCTGAAATACCAAAAGACAAGAATCTTGCCAGATTATACGACAAGTCGACCAGTGTATCATTGATTGAAAATTCTTTGTCTTGCAGAATTTTCATCTCCGGACAGAAAGTGGGATTTCACTCTCAATTTTAAAAATGCGAATTGAGCTCATCCTTTTTATATTGAATTCAACAATATCTTTTAAATGAACTTCGTGTTTCTGGAAGAGGCAATAACCTATCGTCATTTTTTCTTTTTGAATTAACCTTTCATTCTGAACTATTTCAGTCGAGATCTCTTTAAATCTTTTAGAAAACGTGTGTATTATGGATATACCTTTAGCTGTTTTTATCAGCTGTATAGTGGTTCATATTTTGCATTTTAGAAAGACAAATATTTTGTTGGTCGTGTCAAGTGCAAAACTGATTATTTAACTGTTCACTGTTGGTCGCGGCATCGTTCCTAATCCACAATTATTAAAAAATGTACAAAAATTATTCCTATCTCATGCGCAACCGAACACGCCCAATGAACCATCTTTAAAGAAAAAATGTTTCAATGTTTCCCAAACTCTTCAACAAGAAGATGCAGCTGAGTTTTTGTTTATTTTATTGGACAAAATGGATCAGAATGACAATAATAGCCACTATCTCACTGATGAAAGTGAACAACAAATTTTAGAATTAAGTCAAACAAGCAAATTTTATTTATTTGACAATTTGTTGTGTCTTAGTTCTAATTCATCCTACGTATCTTCACCTACACCTCAACTAATTCTACCTTTACAAATAACATATCCAATTGCAACAACAGATAAATTAACTGGTATGTTGATGCCCTATCAAACTCTTACTGAGGGTTTAAATGGGTTTTCTGGAACGGAATGTGTGAAAACATCAACTTGTGTGGACTGTAAAAAAGATGGAAAGTTAAAAACAATTCGTATATTTGAAATATCTCCAGTTATTTTCATTCAACTAAAACGATTTAACAGCCAAAACGATAAATTAACAATACCAATTAAATTTGAACCAAAATTAAATTTGAATAGATATTTGGGCAGTGACCGATTGAGTTCATTATCTGATTATTTACTGTATGCTGTAATTCTTCATTATGGATCAGGTGTGC